ATTGTTAACAAACATTAACAAAGTTATTCGGTACCTATAAAATGGCAGTCACTAAATGCTTAGACTTGTTAATTTGATTAAAATAAATAAGATGAGAAACAAATATTTTTTTAGCGTAAAGAAGTATTGATTTTTAAATGGTATTTTTTTTTTTGTACCAGGCATTTAGATTAACTAAATGAGTATTACAATAATTATTATAATTCCACTTTAATTACAGAAGAAAAAAAACTATATTAAACTCAAACTTTTTTTAATGCGGTTTTTTTGTATTCTTGCGTGCTCAATGCAATGACTATTCAAAAACTCATTAAAATTAGATTGCTCATAATAATTATGCACAGAACTTTTAATGGAGACGTATAGAACGGAGCTACTTGCTTAAATTTCTATTAACGGACACTAATATTTCTCACAATCCTTAGTATACAGATTGTTCAAAATTTATGTAGACTGGTCAATCGTTACAATGAGAACAATAGAAACACTATTCCTTACCGAACACCCTGTACATTTGTCCTGTTAGACATTAATTAGACACCAAAGAATTCTATCGAACCGTTTGGAGTCAATTTTGATCGTTGATTTACTGTCATTGAAATGTAAAAACTTGTAATCGTTTATTCCGTTTTTTCATTGCAACTTAATTATTAATTTTTACAAACTGTAGTGATGCTGACCTAAATAACTTTTTACCGAGTGTCCAATTAAAAAATTAAATATTTAGTACGTCGAATGAAAAACGATAAATGGCCTAGAGAAAATTGAATGCGTGTTTGATATGTCGTAGAACTTGTTTTAACATTCTGTCGACATCTCACTTGACTTGGCAAACTAGTAAAGGTTTTAAAAGTCGTTATCATCACTTTAAAAAACGATCATCGGTTCGACGTCCGGTGATCGCAAGTGAAACATTGAACTTAAAATTTGTGACCAGCTTAGAACGGCTTTTGCCAACTAAATTGATATTCGGCACGATACCGCCATGTTATGATTTCATAAGAGTGTGAAAACAACACATGACGAATATTGAAACTGTTAGTCTGTGTATTTTTTTCCTTTTTACTCCAACTATTTGTCATAAAAATAAAAGTATTTCTCAGATGCGACTACCTCCTTTGACGACGTGCCCATTACCTACAGACTTGAAGCCGTCACGAAGACACACGCGATAACAAGAAAGACATTGATCACATGCGCCTCTTGTTTTTGTTGTTACACATTTCTCCCGTTGCACACGCAACTCGTCACGTCTAATGTCCGAAGAACTGTTGTAATTCGTCACTACATTCGTGCACGACAACAGACGTTACAAATTGTTTATGACAACAACCGTAGCAATGGTGTTGATGTATGTGAGCCAAGTGAAACGATACAATGACAACAATGATAACAATAAACGTTGTATGTCCGTAAACACGTTTTTGCCGTACTACTATATCGATTGGCCGGCCGGTATCCATAGAAACGAGTGGATCACGTTTTAGATACTATTATTATAATATTCGCATGCATCCAATTCATTCAAAATTAATAATATCTAATGTGATATGTGTGTTCAAGGGAGCAACGTGCAAGTGACACCCCGTGACTTTCTCGACCCGCACTTCAAAATACGGACGACTCCATTAAAGTTATTCAATCATCGCGCGCACGTTCCGCCAACTGACTAGAACACACACATATTATAATTACATTATTATTATTGTAATAGCGTTCTGAATGCGACTTGTATGTATACAACTACAACGGTTTGAGCAGCGACATTATTATTAAACCGCATAACATTACATTAAATGGTTTAAACCGTTGTATATGGTCCAGAATGGGAATTGCGAGGGGCAATAATGGCAATAATACTTCCCAAGAGCATACAGGTTATTATGTTAGACCGCGCGAGTTGACGGTCGCAATGATAGATACAACGCGATAATGCCTTTAAAATAGATAAAGGAAGAGCAGAAAGGCATTTGCTATTGTGTATTCACAGCCCGTATAGGATTTAATGCATGTAAAATTCAGTTCCCTCGACTCGGCGCCCTTTTAATACAATTAGACAACGCGGTATTAATTAGGCAGCACGAACGACAACGTACACTATTATCGACAAACAATTTTTTTTATGTAATTCACAAATTGGATTATTTTAAAATCCATACACAGTAAGTGATTACTAAAGCTCTTAATGAGTTTACACCTCAACAGGTGGACTGAGAGGTATTAAATTCTATACGTGAATTACTAAGGGTTGACATTTCGGGAATTTCGTTGAATTCTGTAAATCTTCTAATTTAGGTTTTCGTTACAACAGATTTAAAAAATAAATCGTTTAAAACAGTTATGAATTTCAACAACAGACAAAATCAGTTTAATTACAGTGTATTTTGTACGTAAAATACCATAGTTTCTCAATGATTAAGAGAGTCGTACAATTTATTTGCTAACACGGACTACATGTTTTAGCAACTTTGTACCAACATGTCAGTGATGGGCTGACAGCTTGATACTTTTTTTAGTCTTCAACAGTGACATTATTGACTGTAAAAAAAAAAAAACGATCCGAAAATTCCCATACGTCAGCGCATTTTTTAACATACACGTTAATTGTATACACAAACAGTGTAATATTAACGTTAAGCATTGGAAATTCGTACACGACCATAAAANCGATCTGAAAATTCCCATACGTCAGCGTATTTTTTAACATACACGTTAATTGTATACACAAACAGTGTAATATTAACGTTAAGCATTGGAAATTCGTACACGACCATAAAATTTTTATCAGAAGTTTTCCGCGTTGATAACTTCCAGTACACGTACGCGAAAACCCGGACATATTTTCTAAGCGTTATTGAAAACGACTTTTTTTTTTTAAGAGATCCCTTTAGGGACTAATGAGACTGCCGCCGCACGAAATCATCTCCGTTGACTAAATTTCTAAATTGCTGGAAAGCGCACAAAAGATTTTCTTGTGTGAAAATTTACATATTCGACCGATAAAACTTTATTTCTGAAAACCTATTATGGTTGCGTTTTACCATATGACACTAACTTCTGGTATATGCAAACACGTGTGCCATATGGGTACCCCGTGAAACGATATACACGGGGGCATAATAATTAATTGAGGATAAAATTAAGTTCAATAACACGTCCCGTTAATACGCGTTCAATTACCGCGTTGCGCCGGCACAGTTAAATGTATTCATTTTCCAGTACTATCACAACAATGGCAGACAAAACGAGCGGATAAAAATTGTAAAACGACCAATATTGAAATGGGACGTTTGTGTGTTTACCTATAAGCCCGTTTTGCTAGTAATTGGCGATTACGACCGTTGTACGGTTACTAAATGCCCAATAAGTATTACTTTGGAAACAATAAAACGCAAAGCCGCTCCGTGAAAATGGTACACAACTTTCTGGTTATTATACACGATAATGTGTTGTTGGTACGTATTAGCGATAGCTTAGCAATTTCGAATGGTTTATCGAACTGAAAATCGGTAAACAACTTGATCCGGTTATTTTTTTTTTTTTTCAACGAAAATACATCCTGAACCTCTCGGCAAGTGTATTTTTTTTCCACTGCGAAGATATTCCTTTAATCATTTCTAAATGCTGTGCCCTCGTTTTAAAAGGATCAGAGTACTTCTCGCAGCTCAAAGGAAAGTGGAGAACACGAATTAAAGACGCCTGTATTCTATAAAAGGGATTTTGACTAAAATAGAATTAGACGAGAAATTGTTTAAAAGTACTTACAAGTCAATTGAAAGTTTTCATCCGAGTTTAACCCGAACGCGCTAATATAGAAAATGGAAAATCTCGCTATTTGTTTTTTTAAATTATAAATTAAAATAAGGTCCGGGAACATTCTTGAGAAATCCTTCAAAATAGTTTTGATGGCGATTGATTTACGAGTACCGCCGACTAATTGTGATGGCGAGAATTAATTTAAAACTACAACGGAAACCCTTTTTATCGTATCCAACTTTATATGTTTTAGTCGGGCCCGTTGTAAACTTTCTATTTGGGGATTGAGAATGTAATTCATATTTCTTAGTTTATGCCCATAAGTCATATATACACATGGAATTATACGTGCGTGGAACACGAAAATAATGTAACTGTGTACTCTCGGTAGTGCGTATCTCGGAATCACAAATGAAAATACTTCGAGTATAGAAACTGATGCACGTGTGAACAGAAAATAAAAGGGATAACTATTTTTCTTTTATCCGATCGAAGGAAGAAAAAATACAACAAAAAGCTAAAACACATAAGCACGGAACTTCTTCCGATGTTTCCATTGCCGTCGAAAATGAAATAATGATTTATTGTACAGTGCGTTACGTGATTGCGCCTTTTGAAATATTACTGAAAGTTCTTTTTGAATCACGACTTTGCTATGCGGTTACTCGTCAGTAGAAGCCAATAATTTAATGGTTTAGACGACGAGCGGAGAAACTTCGGTTTAAGAATGATGTTATCATTAAAGAGCCGACTATGGGCCTAAAATCGATCGCTGCCACGTATTAGACGTTGTCATCGACAGAAACAACGATTAATCATATGAGACAGTAGCCGTTATAGAGATAGTATACAATAATTAATTATTATTCTCGAATAATAAATATAATTGTAGTCGATTTGTATTGTTGTCGTTGGCATAATTACTAAAACATTTCTATAGATTTTTCTGATCCAGTACACCTGGGTACTACTAAACTAATTAATTCCTTGCCGAAGTATTTAAATATTACATATTACGGCTATTACTTATGAAATAAAAAAGCATTCATTCTTACACACTTATGGGATTCAATTAATGTTTACAAATTCACGTCATTAAAAACATTATGGTATTTATTGTATTTTCTTGTAAAAATAGATTATTGATACAAAATAAAATTACCTTAAAGTGTATTGTTAGTAAACTAGCAATAAGTTTGTAATTTCGAGTCAATATTAATTTATTCAAACAAAAATTGTTTCAGTTATAATGAGAAATCAGTGAACGCACAAGAAGTATGAGAGTTTCAACAACAAATAGTAAAACGGTTCTAAACGAGTGCTTAACACTAAAATTCAGAATACTCGTTTGCCTATTGAGCGTCCAATGGCTCTTCGTAAATTCTACTTTTGGTAAGAACTTTTAACTATCTTATAATTCGAATATTATTGCAAAATGCACTTTATCATTTCTAATTTTGTAATTCATTCGTGTCGAATCTTTAGTATGACATAATGTACACGTACGTAGTTTCTATACATTACAATTTTGTGTTTACACCTTTGTACTTCCACTTAAGTTATTTATTTTATGTCCATAATCGAACGCGTTATAATAACAGTTATGTAAAACGCAAACATCTTCAGAAATTAATTTGAATAATTAAACAATCGCAACGGCCTGTTGTCTCCGAAACGTGTATCGTTTTAAATCTCTTTTAAGTTTTATAATAAGCGTCGAGGGAGAACTTTAAAAACATGTTTTTGCGCAAAACTACTTTATTTTATATCCCACGAACGCTTTTAAAAGAATTCTGTAAGAATATTTAGGACGGACAAAAGTTTTCTTTATTCAAAGTATACAAAAATACAGAAGAATAAAATTATAATGAAATTTATTTATTCGACTATATAATTTTTGTATTTAAAAAGAGTAAGAAAATTAAAAACCATAGATAACCAAGAAACTATAAATTATTTAAAGGATAAGTAAAAAATTTATCTTCCTTTCAAGTTATTATTGTTTGAAACTTGGTTTTATATTTATACTTTTATCGTCTAATTACTTTCTAAATTAAAATATGATCAAAATAAAAAATAAAAATTTTAATATTTATATAGACATTTAAAACATTTAACAATGACGGAAAATTGAATTCATGAAGAAAATTTCATAAATTATATTCATTTTACAGTCATTAAATAAGTTTCTACGATTTTTATAGTCATAGTTTGTCTTGCAAATTTTTATCAACATCGAGAAAATAATACTTCAAACTGAAACACCGCAATTAGATTTTTAAGGATAAAACAATGAGTATTAGAATTTTTATAAATAGTACCTAACTTTTTTGACATCCGAAATACAATTTGGTTCAATTTTATTAATCAAGTTTCTATATAAATGCTTACGATATTTAATGAAAATATGATTCGATTATTATTAATTATGAAAAAATGTTATATTATAAAAAAAAAACATAATATATTTTGATTGTTTCATGGAAAACTTTTAACTTATAAAAATGTGAACTGGTAAAAAGACACTTATTAAAATTCATTTAATAAAAAATCTCGAGTCTATAGTAATATGAAAGCTCGACAAAGTTTTATGCTGAAAATATAGAAACGGGAAATTACATTTTAAAGATTCATGATTTTTTTGGTTTTTAAATAGTTTTACACTGCATTATCTTTTTATTCATTCAAACAGTGTAATCCTAAATCATAAATCATTATCCTTATTCCATGAATACTTAATAATTTAGTTTACTACGTTGATAAATTTAATTTTTATTTGCAGCAATCAGTCCAGGAGAAGTCAAAGTAACTTTACCATCTAGGAACGAGGCAACCAATCCGTTAAAAGAACCAACGCCTAGTACTCTACAAGGAGCTTTTATAAGCCAAAATTCGTCGGAATCCGGTAATGGCAGTCCGACACCATCCACAACAGACTTTGATCCTCCGAAGTTGACTACAAACGCATCCACTACAACGGTGAAGATCACAACTAAAGTACCAGCGAAAACAAGTGTTGAGTACACAAGTACGGTGGTCACTCAAACTGGCGGTCAAGGTGTCACCTCAGAGGTTACATTGGTCACGACCAAACCCTCGGGAAATATGTTCACCATTAAAGGGACGCCCTTTGTCGATTCAACCACTACGGAGTCTTCTGTTGGTGATCCTACAGTCGATGTTACTACGGTCGAGGCAACTACAGTCGAGTCGACCACGGTCGAATCAAAGAGGGTCGACGATGGTACTACCATGGAGACACCATCGCAATTCGCAGGAGTGACGACGTCTAAAAATGACTTTGACAGCAAGAGCTTAGCGAAAATGCTAAAAAGTTGGTTTAACGTCAAGGGCGACGATCAAGGAGACTACTACAAACTAACGAAATATTTGAAAAATGCCAGTACCTCTAAGAGTTCTGGTAAAAATGTATTCGACCAATGGGATGAAGCAAGCGAGGAACAAGAACGAATGCTCGAAGAAGCTATGCGTAATGGCGACCCCGAAAGTTCAGTGTTGGCGGCCGATCAGAACACTCCAAGCCGGTGGTTTGTTCTCTTGTTAACGGGAAACTCGACTGTGGCGCAAATGAGACGTACCGATTTTGCAAAGTACCTTAAGTTGAATCTGGCGGCCAGATTGTCGGTCGAATACAACGAGGTCCAGATCAACCGCATTTTAGTGGTTCCACCGCGGTTAATGGTTAACGTCAGTGTGGTACCGATAGAAAGAGCCGACGATAATAGAATCGAAGAAGATCCACTGCACAACCTGGTAGAAACAAACGCTACTTTAATGGAATTATCCGGAGAAGAATATCGAGTAAGCATGTTTTCTAGACTCTGACTAAGCGTTATTTCTCAGAATAATTTATTTTAAATGCAGTGACTGAGGAATATCGGGTTATTATTGGAATTGTATTGATTAAAGCTTTTTTTTTTTTTATAAGTTATAATGAACGTAAACAAATTATTTAGCAACAAGAAAATTAGTAGCTAATTATAAATAGTTTTAAATTTGATTGATAATTTTTAATCTAAATTTTTATACATATATATTGTGCTTTGAACACATTCAATACAATTCAACAACGCTGAATCTCGCTTATCTACATTATCATAAATATGTCTGTATTATTTACTTATATAATACTACTTAAAATTTTTGTTAAGAATAAAAATTAAAAGAAATTATACTTAATATATAAGCAAAAAATAAATAAATTATAAATTACGAAAAATATCTACAAAGAACATTTCACTTTTTAAATTATGTTTTTTCCCCGGGACAAATATCCAACAGTTTATATAAATGACAGTAGTTTTTTCGTAAATCAGAAATATTTGTTTAATAAAGTAATTGAAAAGGGATTAATTGGTCGGGTGTAGACGTCAAAGATGACACTATAACAAAGGTGCAAACTTTAAATGTCCGGAATGAATTCATTATTAAGTATACACATTTATATATAATTTTGTAATCAAATTACAAGGGACCGTCCTGTGTAGTAACTGTCTTTAACTAGTATATTTACTTAAAAACACACTTGGTTCGATACGTTACTCAGTCACTGTAATACATTAACAATTTCGTTCAACCCAAAGTTTCGTGTCGTCGACACAAATTAAAACGATAAACTAAACTTTTGAGTATCATAGAAATTGGTTTTAAGCCAAAATATCGTAAAACGATTAGGTTTTTTTAAGTGAATATAAAGTACCTATTGTATAAACGTGTGGGTATTTTTTTACATGCAGACTATTTTATTTAAGTTAATCTAAATAAAACATTTTCATCCAAACAGTGCCCGCTATAGTAATAGTAAAGTTCAAAAAATTCAATAACGTTGCCAAAAGTAGCATGGGAAAAAAAATGGTCGCCCCGTTCAATTAGACATTTGGTTTTTGTACAAACCACTAGTGCGGTATAATATTATACCTGACCGTACGATTAATAACGCCACATTACGGTTACTGTCAAAAAAAGGTCGGCTGGAAGACGACCGATTATGAAAGGTTGTATAACGACAGGGCATTAAATATACGTTAGAAGGGCATATCAGTGAAGTGCGGGTGACGAAACTCTACAGCCGAATGATATTAAGACATAATACCACACAACTACTGTATGTACATCAAGTACGGCATGCAATTTGCCGATTACATTCAAAACAATATTATTACGGTTGTGTGAACGGCATAAAGTTGAATCTCAATCAATAGTCCTTGGAGGGTATTATAGATATGACGGTTTCCAAGCCAATGTACCGTAAAAATCGTTTCTTCATTCGTTAATAATTGGTTTGCGAAGACCGATAAACACAAACGTTTGTTTCGCCAAGAAAAAAATAACGCTTGCTTGACGAAAGATTATTGGCGGAGACAAACTAGTCGATTTTCAACCAAAAAAGTCATATGATTAGGGTAGAAACAAACGAGATGTTTAGATTAAAATACTAGGAAATTAAAAAGTTATATGATTTATTAAATTTACCTCTGTTTATAGGTGGAGAGATTTATGTCTCTAAAATCGCACAAACCGCAATCGCTTGAAGACATGAACGGAATCGTCAGCAACCGACACGGCGACATCGACTCGTTCATATTCTTTACAGTGGGTCCACTTTGCGTTCTCATTATACTGATATTCGTTTTCTTGTCGTTGTACAAATACATCAGGAAACATCCGGTTAAGTGGCCGTGGAAGCGGAAGATTGTCAAGCCGTCGTTCAAGTCGCCATGGTTGGCAGGTGGTCAGCGACACCATCGTATGGACGAGAGTGTGGCTGACGAAGGTTCCTCCGTTAACGTCATCTACTCGGGCGAGTTTGAACAGAGCCAACAACAGCAGTTGTCAGGTTCGTGGCTGGACGACGCCAACTTCGTTCCAGACGACAGTCTCGATCGAATACGCACTCCGACGTTACTACAGCGACCGAGTCCGAAGAACAAGGCGTTTTCGGATTTGTTGTGCGAAAACGGCGCATCGGCGGCTGCAGTGTCCATCGTTCAACAAAGTCCTCGACTGAGCAGAGAGAACAAGTTGCGCATATTGGGCTGCAAGCAGTCATGTCTTCTACTTCCGCCGCAACCCGTACAACAACAAAATGAAACTGATTCATTATCGCCGCTTCAAAATAGCGCCGTGCCTTAAGCACTTTTTTTTTGCTTGTACGATACTAACAAAAATATTTTAAACCAAGAGGTTAGTTGTTTGAAATAATTCCTAATGTTCTATAATTTCTTAACTTTCTCTTGCAGAACAATTCAATTTTATTACCATCGATGAGATAAAACAAGGGAAGGAGGTGTAAAAATGTAATTCAATTTATTGAGTTATTCCGAAACTGGTATATTCAAGACCGTTTAACACGTGTAGTACCATCGAAAATAATAATAATTCCTCGTTAGAAAATATTAAAAATTCCATTGCGGTGCTTCGGTACGCGCATTCCATGTTGTTCAATAGTACAATTGTTTTATATCTACTTGCGTAAATGAGTTTTGCCCTTGATTTTCAGATAGGAATTTTGTTTCCTCAGAATTTCCTTTAGAATCTTGTAGAATCGTATGTCACCCAACTGAGAAACGCATGTATGATAATAATTAATATTAAACAATTTTAGGTACAATACAACAAATTTTTAAAAAGAAACCTTCAATAATCCAAAATTTGGTAAACGTTGTATTAAACTGCAAATGATTATTTTCCTATTGCTGAATACCTATATTCAAATCGTCCTAAATGTTTAAGATTGTTCATTGTATTTTTTCTAGTGTTTGGTCATAATTCAATATTGTATGTTGGAAGAAAAATGATTTTTTTACTATATCATTTAACAGGCAAAACTAAAAAATTAAGCATGAGCAGTCACTAACAAATATTATAATTCTTGTTTCAAAAAAATTTGATTGAATTACAAAATTTCTAGTTTTGTATACAATTTTTTGTTTAGAAAAATCTTCAAAATGCATTTAGAATATAATACAATCTTCTCTTAGTACAGGAAATTAAGAGCTCATAAAAATTTTAAATGTTTACATGAACTATAGTGATATTATATACATTTTAAGTATAATATCTGTAATATAAAACTTGAATAGTTAATAAATATTTTCTTAAAGTATTTAATCTACTAAAGGAAACTTTTTGAACTTGAGAATATTATAAAAACCACATTATATACATTTAACTTAATTTATATGATTTTAATAGAAATTGATTGTTACTTAAATTTAACAATAAAAGATAATGACTGCTATTACAAAAAATAAATAATGAATTATTGTATAATATTTTACAGGTAACCATTTATAATTTAGATATTAAAAGTATTTTTAAATCTGCCATAAAAAAATGTCAAGGTATTTGGTATTAGTTTTACTTTTAAAAAATAAATTATTTGTAATAGTTGTTTTATTTATAGTTTGATTAATTTATTTAAGTTTCAATATTTTATTAGCTAAATAAAATTTGACGTGGGTTTTATGTTAAAATCCTTTATCAACCTATTTATTGGTTTACATTAAATTATTATTGATTATTAAAGGTATCTTTATTATTTGCTATGGAATGATAATGAAACAAATTTTAAAAATTGTTTTGAATTTATACTTTTATTACTATTTAGTGATACAAATGCTTTAATAAATATTAATTAAAATCATAAAATGAGAATTAATTGAAAATATGAATAAATCTTAAGTATGTATCTTAGCAATATTTTAAAATTATATATTTTATTGTTAATTTACATTCAAAAATAATAAACTAGTAATTACTGAGTTACTAAGAAAATTAAAATTAAAAAAAAAACAACATTTAAATACAAAAAACTAATTGTATCTTTCTAAAATTAAGTCTAGTTATAAATCAGTTTTTAGTTACATTTGCAGATAGAATATAAATTCAAACTTTTAGATTAATAAATTCTATTAAAAAATAACCAAAACAATATGTTTAACATTATTATACAAACATAACGGATGAATGATATTAAAGTTCAATGATCTGAAACATTAAAAAAAAAATATTTTAAATGATATTTTACTTTTTAAATCTATTTTTGGTATTAAACAAAAAACAATTACACTAGATTAATCCTAAATAGTTTTAGCTTCGAAGAGAAGCAGAGAATTTTACTATGATGTGTATTTTTTTTGTGTCTGTTACCACTTTTTCTCAGCTATCACACCAAATCGATTTCTTTTGAAGATAAAAATCACTAAAATTCGACATTTTTTCAATTTTTTTTACTTAAGACTGCCATAACTTTTTTAAAAAATAGATAATGAGAATCTATTTTTTTTAAATAGATATATTAGGTATTTACCTATCATTTGGTATATATATTTTTTTAATCTGACCCTTCACCTTCCCACAGGGAGGAATTCAAAACTTTTTCATAAAAATTAATTTTTCAACTTAATTTTTAAAAATGTTCCGGAAACACTGACACTTTTATATATAACTTAAATTAAAGCTTATGTAATATACTTTATTATGAAAAAAAAAAAATTCAGACTTTACTTTGTCTTTACGGTAAAAATAGCTATCAAATGGTATTTTTGTGTGAAAATTCTCGATTTTGAATTTTATCTTATTTTAAAATACCTTACAAAATTTTTTAACTCATTTGATTTTTATCACATTTAGATTCTATAACTTCAATGAATTTCAAGGACCCCTTACTTAAGTCTTCTCTAGTTTGAAGAAATTTCTTATTCATTTTAAAGTTTTTTACTGTGTGATTTTTATTGGTAGTTCTCATTTATTTTCTTAGCTCTCACTCAACCTCCTCAAAAATTGAAAACATTTCCACTTTATCAATCAAAAAGTTATTTAGCCCACATTCTTCACATAGAAAATTAAAAAAAATGATTTTTAGTTTCACCTGAATTTAACAAAAAATTTTTTATAATTATAATTAAATTTTATAATACGCTCAATGGAGTAGAGTTTTTTAACAACATTTTGATTGGTTTTTTTAGTTAAAGTAAGTCATTAAAATTAATTAAGTTTTGATTATTTCAATTGTAGAATCTTTTTAAGCCCCAACAGTTACTTAGAAATGATTATTATAATTTCTATATAAGTGATCTATTACAAAAAAAAATGCAAAAAATAATATTAAGCTTTTCTGATAAATTTACAGTAAATAATAATTATATAATTTCCTGGTTGTATATTAATCTTAACAATCTTAACAAGTAGTAATTTAAACCAGTAGTTCACAAATGTTACACTACATACTTTATTTATTTATATAAGTTTCAAACGGGACAAGCCCAATTACAAAAAATTTTTAAGTAAAAGTAACATCATTCGTAACAATATTATTAATAAAGAAAAACAAACAGTGAAAATGAAAAAAAACAAATTAAAAGCTATAACTAAGAATAAAGTATTACAAATATAGCAACAATTAGGGCTTGTAAGACGATGTACAATGTAAAGAAGAAATAACACAAAAATCAAAAATTAAATTTTAAATAAAACTAAAAAACGTGTGAATTATAAAATATGAAATTGCAATAAGTTTTAAATGAGTGGAAGTTTGGTGAGATGAATAAATCAATTTTTAAATTAACTGTTTTCATAATTCTGTTTATGGGAGAGTTACTAGCATAGTTCGTTGTTGTAGTGTTAATGTAAAATATTTTTATATTACGGGTGCTACAAGATGGTACATGAAATGAAAATCGATTCAAAAGTATCGGACAATCTATTTGACCAGCAAAAATTTTAAAGGTAAAATAAATATCTAACTGCATTCTTCGTAGTTCCAATGTCTCAAGATTCATAATTGCTAATAGAGGGGTGTATGAAGAATGAGGTTCTCTTGGTATTAAGCACTTCAAAGAAATAAGGCGTAAGAATTTTTGTTGGATTTTTTCCAATTTTAATTTATAACTGGTTTGGTAAGGAGACCAAATTATGGAGCCATATTCACAAATTGAGCGAACTAACGAGCAGTAAATGGATTTAAAGGCATCCTTATCGGTAAAGTAGCCACAATTATGTTGAATGAAGCCTAATATTTTGTTTGATCTTATAAAAATATTATTAATATGACTATCAAATTTGAGTTTAGAATCAAACAAAATACCAAGATCTTTTATCGGTCCCATACTACGAGATATTATTTCTGCATTTATATGGTAGACGAATTTAGGAACGATTCTAGCTCTGGAAAATGACATTATCTTACATTTATTAATATTAAGAGTAAATTTATTATTGATACACCATTCATAAAGAGAGTTTAGATCTGATTGAAGTAAATCAGAATCAGATTGACAATTAACTCTACGAAACNCAATAGTTATAGATAATTCAACTTAAACTACTTTTTCAGTTTATTAATTAATCTAAATCTAATAGAATTAAAAAAAAAACTATGTCCAGATCTATTTTACCTCGGATAAAGAATTATTTTTTTTGGGTGAAACAATAGATCTCTTTGACACCATACTTAGACTATTTCTCTGTCTTGTTTGCTTTTTTTGTACTACTCTTTTTTTCTAAAACAAAAAAAAAATTATAACTTCTAAAGATATAAAAATGTCTTTATAGATGTTTGATACTTACTGGGGGCATTAGATCAAGAGGAATTTTAAATTGTTTACGGTTTGATTCAGTTTTTATGATAGATTTTGGTTCTTCTTTACAAATATTTTCTTTTTCTATCTCAGTTTTATTTTCATTTAGATATAATGACTTATTTTTAGTTTTACAATTGATTGCAAATAAATCCTGAAATTTTTTTTTTTATTTTCATAATTTATTTTTTCAGTATTAAGCAATTAGTTTATTGTATCCAAAAATTACACAATATTATTGTAACAGATTCTTGTTGGATAAACAAAAATTACTAGTTGAGAAACACTGATCTAAATGGAAAACAATTATCAATTTAAATCAGTGTTATGCTGAGTTAAGACCAAACTTAAGTTTAATAATTATTAAAATTACATACCTTTTCAAGAGAATTTTTCCGTCTAATACTAATTGGTGATACACACAGTTCTCCCATATTTTTACTAATACTTGAAGTTGATGTATTTATCTATGAAATGTTTAACACTTTACTCTTAAGAAAAAAATATAAAATTTATGTGTCAAATACAAGACACTTAAATATGAATAAAATTTACAAAATAGATATATCAAGAAACTTACTTTGAACTGTTATGAACTCCTAAAATAGTTTTAAGCTTTATTTTCAATTGTATAACAGAGCATAATTAATAATATGTTCATTTAGACCAGCCCAAAAAAATGAATCAAATGTACGTTTTTTTGTTAAGCAATACGGAAAGTTGGACAACCGCTACTATTGTAAACCTGATCTTTTTCCCTGCCTTTATTATATGGTGTCAGCCAGGAGTTTTTATTATTTTATTTCTCAATAAATAATAAAAACTTTAAATAAAATTTTGCAAAAATTATTCAAATATTAAGATATAATTTCCATCCATATATTTTATTAATGGCAAATTTAAAAAAAAAAAGTAAAAATTGTTTAAAAAATCAAGGCATCTAAATGATACAAATATTAAAAAAAGTAATACTTTTGTAATTTTTTATGTAGAATAATTTTTTTTAAATTCATTTATTAATAAAAATAAAAATTTTGTACAATAATTTGATGAGAGATTATGGTTATATGAAATATGATATATTCTCGTGTCGCACCCATAAACTTATATAAATACCAATTTTGTCAATTTTCTTTGGCACAAGGAGTTTAGTTAACTTGAAAATATATGTAAATTGAGTATATTTAGTGCAAACATTAATTTTTAATTTTACTACTTAAATAAATCTTCATAATTTTATTAGTAAGCCGTTATTATTTATTTAGTAAAGAGGAAATATACTTTTGTCCATACATTTTCTGAATTTTTAATTGATGATAGTTGGCCTTCAAACATTTTTTGTTTCTTTGAATTTGAATTAGAAATATCATTTATCTGAGTGGAATTTCTTTTAAAATTATCAAAGGAACAATTGACTTCCTTCTATAAAAAAATATAATGTAATATTAGTTTAGAAAATTAAATAAATTTAATAACTAATTGTTTTGTACAAAAATTGAATTTAATAAAATGAATTTATCAAAAACTACTTATCTAACTTACATTTTCTTCATCATCACTCAGTATCTGTAAATTAATAAATTAATTAATAAATTTGAAAAAGCAAAATTATAATTTTCTTACAAAATAATTATCAAAAGCTTTAATATTTGTTAATAGCTTAGCATAAAAAAAAAAGTTAAGAATATAATAAGAAATAATCAGGTCTTGAGATTTTATTCATTTATAAAAAATTTTTGAACTACTTTTAAGATATAATGTGAGGAAAGTAACTCAAATATTGAGTTTTTGCTTCCCTAATTTAATCAAAATATATTTTACTTTAAAACCGTTATTCAAATGGTTTTTGTTGAAAATACACTAAATATATTTTTGCACTAAACCATTTTTATAATTAATGTTAAATTATAAGAAATAACTTAGGATTTTTAAGACTTATCAAGTTAGTTAAACTTTCAGTATAACACTTGGCAATTTATTTATTTCACTTAGTTTTTTTTTTAACTTTAAAAATTAAATATTTTATGAATGGTATATAATAAAACAATCATAAATGCAACAAAGAACCTCAATAGTAATTCCTGCTTCATTTTGAGATTTCATTGGTTTAATAACTGGACGTCGAATTTTCATGAGTTCCTCATGTAACATTTTAGCACGAGCCTTATATTTCATCTAAAAATATTATAACAGTTTAAAATTTTGAATTTGTTAATTTCCATAATAGAAATATGTATATAAACTCATATAAGTAATATAATTATACTCTAGTGAAAGTAATGTTCTACAATATTAATATCAATAGAATAAATTAAAATTATTATTAATCCATTTTATTAAAACATGTGACAATATTTTGTATAAAAATAACAATTTAATTTCAATTAACTAATATTTCTTCACCCGGTAAAAATATATAATATGTATAATATACAAAGTGATCAAAATCTGGTAAAACACTTATTTTCTCAGAAACTATTGAGAATTTAAAATTTTTGTAAAAAAAAATTATTAAGTTTATAAAACTCTACAATAATATGAAGTTAAATAATTTTTTTTTTATCCCTGAAGGGATAAAAATATTTATTTATAATTTTTTTGAATTGGAACCACTATTTTCGATTTGATAATATGATAGAAAAAAAAAAATTACAAACAATTTTGTTCTTATAATTTTTTTTATCCAAACAACCGTTTACGTTTTATTATTGTTTTAAGATTTTGACTTCCAGAAAAAAATATTTTCATTTATTACGCTTCATAATATCGGTGGCAGTACAACCGGTATATTTGTTAGATCCTTTAGTCTTACAAAACCATAGACTTAGCTATTAATAATACACCAAAAACTCGGTTTGAATCTATTATTGTTATTACTCATTTAGTGCGTAGTAAATTTTTATAGCTAATTTACCTGTCATAACTTGATCAATAAAACTTGGTTTATGCAACAGCAAATAAAAATAATGACTTCTGTATTTAATACAGTAAAATGACAATAGAAATTTGGCCTAAAATCACTTAACTTTAACAAGCTGTAATGGACAAACGGTTAATCAGATAAAAAAAATTATAAGAACAAAATTGTTTGTAATTTTTTCTTCTATCATATTATAAAGTTAAAAATAAGGGTTCCCATTTAAGAAAATTATAAATAAGAGTTTTTATCCTTGAAGGAATGAAAAAAATAATGGTTTGACTACATATTATTGTAGAGTTTTTTAAACTTGATGTTTTTTCTCTATAATAAAATTTAAAATTCTCAATATTTTCTGAGAAAATGAGTGTCTTACCAGAGTTTGATCACCCTGTATAATATGATAACATGGATCATAATATGATATATGTTTTATTTGAATTTAAATACATATAATGTATTTAAATATATTGCTTACATAATTGGATGATAATCTTTCAATTTTTTGACATTGTTCTTTCTTTTCATTTTCCAACTCAAATTTTTCTTTCTCTAATCTTATTTTTTCTTTTTCTAAAATCATATTTTCTCTTTCGATCTCATTTTTTTGACTAGAAAAACTTTTAGCTGACCCTCTTAACATTTGATAAGCATTATTTAAATCATTATTTAATGTCTGCAAAAATCATATAAATTTATAAAGTGTTATATTAATCTACAAATGAATAATAATTAAATTGATTGAAAGTAACAGCTCACATCAACTTTACTTTGTAAATCTTGAATTAAATTACAATTAACTGTTTTATCCTCTAATAAACCATCAATTGTTTTTATAGATGCATCTAATTTTGTTTTTAATTCAATTTTTTCCTTATTCAGTAAAATTTCATTAGCATTAAACAATTCCAAATTTTTAGTACAGCTATTTAACTTTTCTTCCTGTACTTTTAGCAACTAAAAGATAATAAGTTTTTATGAGTAATGAAATTAAAAAAGATAAAAACAACTTTTTCAACTCGACTGAATTAGGACAACTTTATGATAATACATAATATATATGATAATAATAAGCTATGGCTTATTAATGAATTAATAATTACTAAAATTGATTGTTAAAAAGCTAAAAATGACATTATATTAATATTTACTAGACTATAACTTACTTCTTCATAATCTGTTTTCATCTCTTTCGATTTTTGATCATCATTATAAGCCATCTTCAATAATTTCAACTCTTCTAATAAGTTTGCATTAGTTTTTTCAAGGTATTGAATATGTTTTTCTGAATTCAGAATATTTTTCTTCAATTCTTCATTTAACTTGTCTAATTCAATTTGATTTTTAATCTGGTCCTTTTGTTGATTTATAGTACATAACTGAATAGCAAGCTGGTTTTCTTTTTCTTTCCTATAATATTTAAATACCTATTAGATAATATAAGGAGAAAATAGTAATTTTTAAATTTATTACATTGATTGTAAAAGGTTAAGTTTCTCATCATTCATATTTTGAAATTCATTCAATAATTTGTTAAACTTCTCATTAATAGAACTATTTTGTTGTATTAGTAATACATTTTCAGAAACTTTGTTACTAAGTTCATTCTCAAAATATTGACTATAAAATAAAAATTATGATTAAAAAACAGTTTCAAATTTAACTAGAATATATTTAGAATAAAATATATATATAACACACATTTTATTTTGAAAAACTTTTCTTTCTTCTGTTAATTTAATATTTGTATCATTCAATTCATCTTGCAATACATTTTTCTAATAATAAAAACAAAAAAAATAATGTTCATTTTACACATTTATTAAAATTGTAATAATGCATAAAAATATTTTACATACACAACTTAAAACAAAAAATATTAGTAAATAGATTTTAAAGTGTATATTATTTATTAACTGTGCTAACAATCTAAATTACCTCAGTCTGAATTTTTGTTAACTCATTTGAGACATTTTCAAAATTTGATTTAAAACTAGCTATTTCAAGTGTATGTTGATTTTCTAAAATTTCCATTTCATTTTTTAGCTTCAATTTTTCCATATTGACTGTGAATTAATTAACTAGTGAAAATTTGTTTTATCATAGCTGAACACATATACAGTGTGATTATTTAAGAATGATACCCCCTATTTTTTAGTCAAATAATGGTTCTTTAGAAATTTTTTCTATGACAAGTGTTGATTTAAAAAATAACAATATTTTTGGCCAATACATATATCAATAAAACTCTAAAAAAAGTGTGAAATGGTTTGTTCTCTTATTTTGGAAATTTAAAGAATAATAAATATGTTTAAAAACATGTATTGACTAATTTTATGCGCATTTTATAATACTTGTTTTCTTTGTTTCTATTAAAAAACTGTTACGTTATAGTTTAATCTAAATCTAATAAAATAATAATATTGGTATTGGTTAAAAATCATTATTTATTTAAATTACTACTTAAGTTAAAATTCTCAATTATTAAAAATTTACTTATTACAGTTAAAATCAAAGCTCATTAGTTTACTAAATTAAAATAAGCAAATATTCAATAAAAAATTTAGTGATACATTTTTACATGATTAAAAAATCTATGCAAATACACAAAAAGAAAATCAGTAAGTTTTTTTAACTAAAAATATTTTTTAAAACCTTTAAAAATATTTTTATCCCAAACTAGAGAATTCATGATTAAGAATAATCTTTAGCTGAGGAAGTAACTATAAATCTTTTTACTGATTCCTAAAGAACAACAAACAAAATACACTCATAATTAAACAAATATTCTTATTTTTTAAAACACACACACACCAAAACATGAACTATTAAATATATATATATATTCTTTTTTATTTATTTTATTAAAAATGATTTTGCATATTGGAGATTAACAGACCATGTTTCAAAGAGTCTTCAATAGAATTTGATATACTTAAAACTTTTTCCTGAAAACTACTTTTTGTTTTATCAACCAAAGATATAACTTCTTTATGTCTTGATTTAATAGCTTCAAAGTCATATCCATGTCTATTTAAACGGTCACTAGCATTTTTAAATTCTGAAACCATATGTTGATAAATGTTATGACCAAAATTAGCTCTAAAATAAAGAAAAAACTAATTATAAAAATAGATAATAAAATAACTATTTAACATTGATGATTGATAGAATTATTACTTTTCTTCGACAGATTTATACCAATTGTTAAGTATACAATCATTGTTTTGAATTTTCATGATTTCTAAATTACATGATGAGATTTGTTTATCTTTTTCTAACATAGCATCTTCATATTCTTTCAATTTTAATGAGAGTATTGATTTTTTCTGTTCAATCAGCATACGTTGTAAATCCAAAATTTTAATTGCTTCAGGTACATTATCAAATGAATTAGGATCATTTAAGTGTTGTATACTGTTCACATTCTAAAAAAAATTTAATTTATTTATATAAAACTATACTGTTTTTGAAAGCAATTTAAATTAAGTCTGTTAACAATTTTAAAATAAAATTTTAAACTAGCCAATAAAATATAAACAAAAACTATCAGAACTATGAAAATTAATTTGAAATAATAATATATATTTTTAGATTAGACATAAAAGAATGTTTAGAAATAAAAACTTGTCAGTTAACAATTTTTAGTAGAAATTATAATATAAATATAAAACTATAAGATTGGCCACTTATGGATTCACGTGAGTTATGATTAAATAAAGGTATTTAAAATTATAGTTATCAAAAACAAAAATATTTTAATATGTTTGTTTTTTAATAAAAGTATGCATATAATGCACTAAGACTAACAATAAATATAATTTTGTTTTTAACATAATTTGTATTCTATACATAAATTTGATTTTTTTTTTCACCAGATTATTAAGATATGTATTCTCAGTTTTCAATAAAAAAATAAAAAATAAATTTTTTTTGAATTTGTTACCAATCTATACTATTGCCTCAATTATTATTTGATACCTTTAATTTGAGTTTAGTTAAATTTAAAGTGTATTAAAAATATATATTAACTGGTTAATAAATCAGAATTTTTAATTTAAGGCATATAACATTAAATTATTAATTTAGCGTGCTAATAAATATATACCGGCTAAGATATCTAGTTACACAAATTATCACAATTCTGACGACGGCGAAAATACTTAACCAACACTAAAAAATATATAATTATTTATAACGCTTACGTTTAAGTACGAGGACGTAGAGTTATCTGACTTGGCGGTTTCGTCCATAATAAAAAAACTCTAATAATAATAATTAGGAATATTGAAATAAACGAAATGAACGCTTTAAAAAAAAATGTCTAGCAAGTTGAACTATATGTTATTACTTCTGTACTGAATACCAATCAACTCAATAAAAGAAAATTGTTGAGTTCTGCAAAAAATCAAAATAGATTACCGGAATGGTCGTCGGTACCATTTTTAATATATTGCTTTACCTATGTTGCAGAACAGAGAGTTAACAGGTTGACCAATTATTAAAAATTAAATAAAACAATAAATGGATCGTATTTTTAAAATAAAAGCAATTAAAATTGTTTATGCGTTTTATTAAAAGGTGGATGATAACTAATCTCAATTTTTATTTTTGAACTGATTGAAAAGTTAAAACCGATTAATTTTTAGCCCACAAGTTTATTTTTAATGATAAATAACTAGTTATAGAAAATACATTTTTTTACTGACCTTTTACTTAGTAAGAAAGTTAAATTTCAGAGTTTTAAATCATAAACCTAATGGGTCATAATTATCGTAATAAATACTATTGTATGTTATGCTATTAATGCTGAGTTAAGTCGGGGGCATTACCATTAAAAGCAAAAGAGTGGATTCAATACGGCGCTCTATGTCGACTGTTATGAGAGCACTTTTCTAATTTTTAATGCCTTTTTTTTGCTAATGTAATACACAAAAAATTATTAATTCACCCACTCTTAGGGGGGAAGGTCTAGTCAGATCGGAGAAAAACTTTTAGTGTCGAGATATATTAATTTTTTGTTCATCACTTTATTTTGAGGATGTAAATATATATAAAAAATTCATTAATTCTAAGTATAAAAGTGTATTTAAATATTTAAAATTAGTATTATTATCTGATTTCTTTTTCTTCAATATAGATTTTAAAGTTTTTAGCCATTTTCCAATTAAATTAATAATTTCAGAATCTGAGGCACTTCTACATTTTAATTTTCTAATTGCTTCTAAAATCAATCCATTTAAAATATTTTTTTATCTGATAAATTAGAAAAACTTTATTACCGAAAATTGCCTTGTTAAGAAGTTATATAGAAGAGTTCTGGCCCAAATGTATAAAATTATTCAAAATGTTATCACAAAAACTTCAAGAAGTTCACAAACCTATAATTTAAACTTAGATATTATGTAAATTTATTATTAATATTCTACGAGAGTACAAAGATTAAAAAAAAAAAATATAGAGACATTATTTGAGACTTTATTCATACGCTTACTTATACTCCATATTATTCAACCCATCTTGTGTTGATTTAAACATAAAATAATCAATATTTTCAATCGAAATATTTTTAGAATATTGTGCTTTATTATTAAAATTTGACAACTGTTGAAAAATTGATTGCTGCACATTAGATATTCTAGTAACCTCTAATTTAATGTATGCCAAATAATCGATAACTGTGTTTTGTTAAATATTACTAAAAAAAAGAAAAATAGTTTTTTAGTTATTTTTTACAATTATGTCCTTATAATAATTTAGTATATTGATTTATTTGGGTATGCCTTGGATGCTGAGTTATTTTTTCCAATTATTTACAAAGTAAATACTATTAATATTTTAATGTAACAAAAAACCTATATATTGGTAAAGAATAAAGAAAAATTACCCACCATTATTGTTTTGAGAATTGAATTGAGTTATATTAAATTCATTTAAATTCCTAGAATCTCTAAAAAAAAAAAAAGATAGTTTATCTAATTGAACTAAAATTTTAGTAATAATAATCTCCTCCTGTGAGCAGGTAAAGGGTTAATTTTATAAAAAAAAATATACCAAATGATAGGTAAAGTCATCAAAAATCTTTATTTTAATTGAATATATTAACGTTGTTATATTGTAAACATGGATATATCCTCAAGCAACAAGACAATCCATGAAAGTTTTAACACATTCATAACGTTGTTATAATTATAATACTTCTTTATATGTATAAAATGTATTTTTTAAATTGATGTATAGCAATCGATGCTACATCTAATTGCTATAATATAATTTATGCATAGAATTAATATTTTGATTAGAGACATAATATTTTTTTGGCTAATTATCTCGTATTTAATATTATATTATGAAATAAAAATTTCAATGCAACAAGCTAATTTAGGAAGATTTAATAATAATAATAAATATATATTTTTAAGTTGATTGCATAAATAATGTTCACTTAGTTTAAATAATATGTTGGCTGTATAAAACATTGAAATCCTTTATGATAATCGAGTAAACAATTTATAAAATTTAGTACAAATAATTATTCATACAGTTCAATGTCGTAAAGAATAGTTATTTCGTTTATATTTTACTATATTATTATAAAATTTAACAAATTGTATTCGTTTGCTAAAAACTTTACTTGTAAGTAAAATCATTGTAGGTATAAACACAAAATGTATTTCTTTTTATAAAGTTCATTTTTTATTATAAATAAAAAAAGTTTCTAAGGAACTCTATTTAATAAAGGATTAGTTCTTGTCTTTATTAATCGTATAATGGGTTTAAAAATTGTTCACAATACATTAAATAAAAGTAAAGCATTATTTAGGTTACTGAAAGATACTTGGACTCGTGTAAAAAAATTATCTTTGAAAAAATGTAAGTAATAAAAATTAAAACTAAAAGTTTGTAGCTTAATTCTTTAACGAACTTTAGCAACTAATAAAAAGAACAGTGTATGGACATATAGTAAAAATCAATTACAGCAAACATATAATATGTGTTTCTGTTGTATCTGTATCAAACCTGATCTAAAACAATCAGACCACGAAAAAAGCCCTAAAGTTCAAAGTAATAATAAACCCGAAATTAAGAAAACAATAAAAGAAGAGATAGTCAATTTGACGAATCCATCAAATCTTGATGAGCTTAAAGCATGTATATTATGGTTTTTAAATATTATTATAAATACATTACCCGTTTAAAGTTGAATAAACAATACAATAACAGTATTTTGATTCTAAAATTATTGTGTTTCCTAAAGATAGTTCATAATGCAATCACCAATATACGACATTAACATCAATAATTTTTAAACTTATAAATACATAATTTGTGTTTTTTTTTTTTATAAAATTAGATATATTCTTGGACTATGGTATTCAACACTTTAAAATCAAACCAAAGTGTTGAAAAAGTTGTGGGAACTCCTCCGCAAAAGTACCAATTGCCAAAGAAACAATTGTTTAGTCTACAACTAATAACTAAAACTAAACATGATTCGCCAGGTAATAACAGTTTAACTTTTAAATATCTTTTCTGTAAAGGATAATGTTCAATTATAGTCAATACTTTATCAATTATTTTTCAGTGTGCCGGGGTATTAAAAATCAAGGGGCCACTTGTTACTTAAATGCTTTCGTCCAAGTCATATTACACACGCCTGAGTTTCGTAACGCGTTGTTGGAGCTGACATTCCCTCATGATTCCGGCGACGACGTTTGGTTTAACGTCGCTTATCAACTTAAGAGGCTTTTCGTAGAAATACTTGGACCTGACACATCGGTGGTTAAGACTAAGGACTTAACAAACAGTCTTGGTTGGACTCAGGAGGACACAGATACCCAGCAAGACGTCCAAGAGTTTGGTCGATACTTTTTGGGCATCTTGGACGAGAAGTTGCAACTTACATCGTCCGCTAACATGATTAGTAATCTATTCAGTGGCAAGTATAATGTATTTACTATAAAAATTAATATGACCGTTTTTTTATACTTGATTAGTATTTTATTAGTTCATCGTGTTTACTATTCATTAACATGTTTCAGGCATTCAGGTCGAAATCCTTACTTGCATAATGTGCAATATAAGTAAAGAGCAGTATTCCACATTTTTTGATATTTCTCTGCCTATTCGCTCTATTGATGGAAAGACATATGACTCGCTGGTAAATATATATAAACCGTAAATTTATATGTTTAATGTAGAAAAAGCAAAATTAAAGTTAAATTAATAAATTTGTTTTTTATATTAATATACTTGACTAATAGGAATATGCAATAGAACAATATTTAAGACCTGAAATATTAGATGAACATTTTTGTGACATTTGTGGAAAAAAATGCAAATTCCTAAAAGGGCAACAATTTAAAGAGCTCCCATGTATTTTATGTTTTCATCTAGGTAGGATTACCTATAACATAAATAGTCTAAAACCCGAAAAAATAAATGACAAGTACGTAATGTTTATGTAAACGTAAAAAAAAACATTATTATGAATTTTTTTTTAAGAGTATCTTTTCCATTTTTCATTTCAATAGATGTGGATGGCTATAATTCCGTATTTGAATTATACGGAGTGATCAGCCACAAAGGAAAAGCCACTTTTGGACACTATTACTCCTATATAAAAGATTTCAATTCGGGACAATGATTTTGAATGTGATGATGATATTTTTACTCCCTTAGGTATTTACATTTTTTGGAAAATACCACAATTATAAGACTATAACTATTACACAAGTATCACCACATAAAATTGAAAGTACTTTCAGTAAAAAATCAAGCACATATTTGATCATGTATCGATTTTTTGATAGAAACAGAAATCGAGAAGCTTACACACTCGAGAATCTCCCAGCGCATTTAAAGTATTCAAACAATATTTTTACTTATGCATCCATTTAATTATATCCGTGTAGTTTGCCATAGAAAACAGAGTTCAACAAAGTTATTAGTTATATGTTTAATTACCCAGAGAAGACCTATGACTTCAGTGGTATAAATTAGGCATGCAATACAAAATATTTGCATTTATATTCTAAAATAAAACAAAGAATAAAGAATAAAAAATAAGAAATATTTATAAAATGTTAATTAAAACTATAATACAATTTACTATGTAATTATTTAAAAACTGTTATAATTTATACTTTTGTATTCAATAAAACATTTATATTCAACTAATTATATGTAGTTTAAGTTTTACTTAGAGTAAATTTATCAAAGAATTAAATCTTGATTAATAAACTACTACAATGTAGCATGTTATAAAATACAGATTTATGACAACATCTATTAATATCATTAAAAATAATAAACAAAACATAAAACCTATTGGTTTTAAAATAATTTTTTGATTTTGGAGTATTTAGTTTATGCTTTAATAACGTTTTTTATACCAAATTTTTTTTTATATAACCCATAATAATGTTAAAGAAATGATTAGAATTATAATCTTCTGCATTATCTTGTTGTCAACTGAAAAATAAATATCCTACTACTATTTTTAAAGGCATGTTAATTACAATTATTACAAAAAAAATTATTTATATTACACTGATAGATTAATTACTCTTTCAAAAAAATGAAAANTGGGGACTGATAGATTAATTACTCTTTCAAAAAAATGAAAAATATTGACGGCAGTATTTTAAATTAATGACACTTTATAAACACGGCTATTTTAGCTTCAATTTTTATTTGAGAAACTTTTGGTTTTACTGTGCTATGTTTTTTATTTCTTGTGTCACTATACACGATTATTCCACTTCTACTTGACAGACTTTGCTTGACATTAAATCAAAAGATCACAAAACGTATCTTGTTGAAGCAATCAGTAACATAATTATAAAAAAAAAAAAACCCAGCACAGGGGGGTCACGGCACAGTGGGTGACGTAGCATAGTTGGATCAAGTATAATGTTGTCTGACAGTGATTAAAATCACTATAAAAAAACGGTAGCACAGTGGGGTCGAGGCACAGTATGGACGAGGCATAGATGGGACAAGTATAGATGATATCTGACAGTGATTAAAATCACTATCATAAGAAACGCTTCGATGCAAATCTGTAGATAGTGTTTCCTTTAGAGAAATTGGTGAAATATTTTAAAAGCAACATGAACTCTTATTTCTTTAATTATATCCTGATTAGTAGTTCTTTGATTTTAAAATATAATATATGAATAAATACTAATTATAGTTTTTAAATTTAGTATGAAATTGTGAGGCCAGCTATGATGTATGGTTCATAGTGTTGGGCGGTTGATAAGAAAGTAGAGCAGAGAATAAGTGTAGCAGAGATGAGAATGCTTAGTTGGATGAGTGGAGTGACTAGAGAAGATAGGATAAGGAACGAGCACATAAAAGGAAGTATAGGTGTTGCGTCAATCGTGGATAAGATGACAGAAAATAGACTTAGATTGTTTAGTCATGTTATGAGGAGAGAACAATGGGAAGCTGTAAGAACAGTTATAGAAATGAATTTTGAAGCAAGAAGAGGTAGAGGAAGACCAAAAAGGAGATTGAAGGATGTTATTGAATGCGACATGAAGACAGCTGATGTGAGCATAGAAGATGAGGGAGATCGTGTCAAGTGGAATCTTAGGATAAGTGTGGCCGATCCCAAGTAGTTGGGATTAAGACATAGAAAAAGAAAAAGATTAGCAGAAATTCCGGTGGCAATTGACATAATATGATTGTTGTTTGGGAATATACAATTTAGCGTTTAGTTGGGTTTAAACAATATAGAGTCAAATCAATTACCTACTCTATCACTTGTATATTAATATACACTACACTTTAATGATACAATAAATAAATAAACTCACACATACACACATATGCATTTATAACATTGTGTCTAATGTAAGTATAACATGATAAAAAGTAACCGTAAAATGAAAAAAAAGGAATATAAATTTTAGTACTCATATTAAATGTAATGTAACTCGAAAAATATTTGTTTAAATGAAAAAATATAAGATACCTTTTTTTGTTTAAAATTGTCTTTTAAACAACTTTTGAACGAAACTTTTTTTTTTAAGTTAAATATTTTTTGAGAAAATTAAAAAAAGCTCATATTTTTGAACTTTTGCGAGGCTGTAAAAAAAAAAGCTCAAGTCCAGTCGATGAGGACTTTTAGTATGTCATTATACATATCTTAATTCAACTTTTAAAAAAATAAAAATTTGGTTGGGAATTTTTTCCGCCATTTTTCCTTCGTTGACTGGCCTAAATGTACGTTCTCTGTTAATAGTTTCTATGGATACCATTTTTTATTTGTAAATTAGCAAAAATTTTTACTCTCAGGTTAACTTTGAGAATTTTTCGACTTTCAAGATCATCTTAAATTTTTTGAATTTTTCTCAAAGCCTGCGTCGTTGACAGTTTTCAGTTTTAATTATTTAAATTATTTGTAACGATGAGCTCGAAGACGCAAAAATTGTTTGCCAAACTCAAACGATTACACGGAAAACCTAAAATTCCATTTAAGAAACAGACTCCTGTCAATAAAAACAAAAGTTTGATTGACAATCCTAATATTGAATCTATTAGTAAAATTACAGCAAAAGACAAGTCGAAGCGTTCGCATCGCAAATCTACTCGGTCTAATGCAGCTCCAGTAACTGAGGAAGACTCTGAACCGTTTGTCAAAGAAATAAAAAATATTGATCAATCACGTTCTTCTTATTGGAGGGATCCATATGAAATACTCGTGGAACAGTTTTCGACAAACATTGACGAATCATCTACGAAAAGAAAAATCGAACATGACGAAGAGACATATGTAGTTGAACGTCAAAAAAGTATGAAATAACATTTTTTTAATCATCGGATATATTTGTTATTTTTACAATAATAGTCATGCTTAATTTGTTGATTTTTCTCTAATATTTTACCAGGTTATGAAAATATGGATAAACATCCATCTACTTCAGATAAGTCGTCAGAACTGTATAATAGTTCACATTCATTAAAGAGGGCAAACACTTTTGACGGATATGAACCATCAAAGAAGTGTAGATACTCTAGTTGTGTAGAGTTTCATTCTAGTAAATATGGGCCACAAAATAGAGTGGTGTTGAAGATTAGGGCCACGTCTTCAACATCTGATTCAGACGACGAATCAAAAATTACAAATGATTCAGAAACTGACTGCCATCATGGCAACGGTACAAAATTAATTTATACACTTTAATGAAAAAATTTATAATAATAATATTTTATTTCTTAAAATTCAACAGGACATTCCTCTAACAGAGCACGGCCTACAAAAGCTCAGGACACATGTAAATCGTCAAAGAAACTTGAATATTCAAGTAGTGTAGAGATTTACGTGGCGCAATCAGATGAATTAAAAGACAAAATAATATTAAAGATTACAAAAATAAACTATTCAGATGATGATGATTCTTCTTCTAGCTCTGATTTTAGTTCTCATTCCGATTCTGATGATTCAGAACATGAATAAAATTTTAATAGTTCTATATTATTTTATAACCCATCAAACAGTGTCCGAGACATTTTTAATTGAGTTACCCTTTTACCTCCCNAAGAACATTTTTAATTGAGTTACCCTTTTACCTCCCTTATTTCATGTAATTAAATTGATTAAACTTTTAAAACGTTCCTTCATCATCCTTATTAAAATTATAAAATTATTCTTATTTTATATTTTGTATATATACAAAGAAAAAAACATGAACTGTACACATTTATTATGTACAACCTAATTAATTTCATTGTTATAAATTTTGTTTTTTATTTCATTAAAAATTGTTTATTACTATATTTGTTTTTAATAAATTGATATGTTTATGAGAAATGTTTGTGTTTTAAAAACTGGTATGACTAGAAATATAAAGAAGTATTATTTTAGTCTATTTTTCAAATGTCAAATCGATATATTGAATTAATTTTACAAAGTAGGTTAGTTTTAATATAACCTAACTTAAAAGAACATGCTTTGATATCGTACTCATTATGAGATGTGCGATCGAGAATTGATACTCGTCTGTCGAAATATTGGCTATTGGTCACAGTGTCTAAGGTAAGATACAGTTTGCATTGGCGATCTCGAGCAGGCTACTAAAATATACCCCCCTCAAAAAAAAAAAAAACGATAGCACAGTGGGGTCGAGGCACAGTGTGGACGAGGCATAGATGGGACAAGTATAGATGATATCTGACAGTGATTAAAATCACTATCATAAGAAACGCTTCGATGCAAATCTGTAGATAGTGTTTCCTTTAGAGAAATTGGTGAAATATTTTAAAAGCAACATGAACTCTTATTTCTTTAATTATATCCTGATTAGTAGTTCTTTGATTTTAAAATATAATATATGAATAAATACTAATTATAGTTTTTAAATTTAGTATGAAATTGTGAGGCCAGCTATGATGTATGGTTCATAGTGTTGGGCGGTTGATAAGAAAGTAGAGCAGAGAATAAGTGTAGCAGAGATGAGAATGCTTAGTTGGATGAGTGGAGTGACTAGAGAAGATAGGATAAGGAACGAGCATATAAGAGGAAGTATAGGTGTTGCGTCAATCGTGGATAAGATGACAGAAAATAGACTTAGATTGTTTAGTCATGGTATGAGGAAAGAAGAATCGAAAGCTGTAAGAACAGTTATAGAAATGAATGTTGAAGGAAGAAGAGATAGAGGAAGACCAAAAAAGAGATGGAGGGATGCTATTGAATGCGATTTGAGGACAGCTGATGTGAGCGTAGAAGATGTGGGAGATCGTGTCAAGTGGAAGCTTAGGATAAGGGTGGCCGACCCCAAGTAGTTGGGATTAAGGCAAAGAAAAAGAAAAATATTACCAGATATTCCGGTGGCAATTGACATAATATGATTGTTATTTCGGAATGTACAATTTAGCGTTTAGTTGGGTTTAAATAATATAGCGTCAAATCAATTACCTACTCTATCGGTTGTATCTCAATATACACTACACTTTAATGATACAATAAATAAATAAACTCACACATACACACATATGCATTTATAACATTGTGTCTAATGTAAGTATAACATGATAAAAAGTAACCGTAAAATGAAAAAAAATGGAATTTAAATTTTAGTACTCATATTAAATGTAATGTAACTCGAAAAATATTTGTTTAAATGAAAAAATATAAGATACCTTTTTTGTTTATAATTGTCTTTTAAACAACTTTTGTACGAAATTTTTTTTTGTAAGTTAAATAGTTTTTGAAAAAATTAAAAAAACTCATATTTTTGAACTTTTGCAATGCTATAAAAAAAAGCTCAATTCCAATCAATGAGGACTATTAGTATGTCATTATACATATTTTATTTTAACTTATAAAAAAACAAAATTTGGTTGAGAATTTTTTCCGCAATTTTTCCTTTGTTGACTGGCCTGGATGTCAATTTTAAACTTGTATTTTTGCTTCTGATGAAAGTTCCTTGATGTCCAGTGCATTTTTTTATAGTAACAAACAGTTTTTATTAAAAATTATTGTATCAAGCCCTTTAAATTTTAATACACGTAAAAGTAAAGCAAAATATAACTTCTTTATTATTTTTATAATTTCTCCGTTTAAATTACAATATTAAATATCAATTTCATACTAAATTTAATAATTATAATTAGTATATATT